GTAAGTGCCAGCCCAGCCTCTCCATAAAACACTGTTCGGCCCTCACAGACCAGCTCCACACACACTGAGCCTGTCTGGGCTGGGAATTCCTTCCTTCCTTCCTTCCTTCCTTCCTTCCTTCCTTCCTTCCTTCAATAAGTGCTAGCCCAGCCTCTCCATAAAACACTGTTCGGCCCTCACAGACCAGCTCCATACACACTGAGCCTGTCTGGGCTGGGAATTCTTCCTTCCTTCCTTCCTTCCTTCCTTCCTTCCTTCCTTCCTTCCTTCTTCCTTCCTTCCTTCCTTCCTTCCTTCATTCCTTCCTTCCTTCGCAGTTGTTAAGAGAATAGGATGCGCTGGTGTTAGAGGGAAAGTTAAAAAACTGTTCTATTGTCTTAAGACTAACTCTGAAAAGGGCAATTTTTTTTTAAAAAGGAGTAAAATAAATCTGTTTTTTCAGCTCAAAAGAAAGGTTAAATAATAATTTTGCTTGTGTTTAGGATAGCTGTTACTAAAAAAGTGCTTTCAATATTTCCTTTTTTATATAAAATATAATTACAGATGGGCTACACACCTCTACACGTGGGCTGTCACTATGGAAACATCAAGATAGTTAATTTCCTGCTCCAACATTCTGCCAAAGTTAACGCCAAAACAAAGGTGGGTACCTGCCCTCCTTTCTTCCCAGCAAAATCTTTGATGTTGTGTCCAAGAAAGTAAGTGTTGTCTCTCCTTCCTTCTGCAGAATGGGTACACACCTCTACACCAGGCGGCCCAGCAGGGCCACACGCATATAATAAACGTCCTACTGCAGAACAATGCCTCCCCCAACGAGCTCACTGTGGTAAGCAGCCTGCCTGCTGGTGGAGGGGGAGAAGCCAGGAGGAGCCCTGGGCTCAGGGCTCCTCATGTTTTCATCACACAAGTGGCTTTTTCATGTTACTGATAGGTCACCTAGAGCTTTCAGTAGTGTGAGGGTAAAGCACAGGGACCATGTTGAGGGCTGTTCAGCGGCAAGGAGATGTGCGTTTCCACACCATAAAAATACCAGTTGCATTGCCACACATGTAAGAAAAACAGCATGCCTGTTTCATTGACTGTTGACACTCACACATAAAAGGTAAACAGGCTCTGTAGAGCACCTTTAGCTGTCCAGAGCTCGATGCTTATGGGCAGGATTGGGTGAGCTTGGTTTCTACAAACTGTGTTTCTTTAGTCAGCTTTCTGTCACTATGGCAAAGCACCAGAGGGGAGGAAAGGCTTACTTTGGCTCAGGTTTCAGTTCATGCCACTTGGGGCCTGTGGTGAGGTTGGATGTTGAAACAGAACTACTCTATCCTGGCGTCCGGGAAGCCAGGGAGACAGGAAGAGGCTGGAGTCCCAATGTACCCTTCTAGGACAGGCTCCCAACAGCCTAACTTCCTTCCACCAGGCTCTGCCTCCTGAATTCCACCACCTCCAGTAGGTGAGCACTGAACCTTCAAATACATGATGAGCTTTAGAACTTCAAGCGTAACATGTCTCCAATGCAGTGTCTCCATGTTTTGTATATGATGGTTGCGCCAGTGTGGTAAACGCTAGCTTTGTGTTGGCCTCAGGCAGAGCACCTGGAAAGAGCATGTTAACACCTTGTCTACGTGTTCTTGTTTCCAGAATGGGAACACAGCACTGGCTATCGCCCGGCGCCTTGGCTACATCTCAGTGGTTGACACACTGAAGGTCGTGACGGAGGAGACCATCACCACAACTGTGAGTAACAGGCAGAACTCAACCTTGAGCCAGTTCTCAGGTGGCAGTTTCTCTAAACTTTCTGGAATGTTCCTTCTTCCATTCATGGACTAAGTTCCACATTTTAAAATACTCATTGTTGGCAGTCAACATGGCAAAACCATCATTTCTGCTATGAATAAAACTTTGAAACACTAAAAATGCCCCTTTTTGGAGACAGGGTCGCCCTATAGCCCCAGTTGGCCTGGAACTTGCTATGAAGACCAGATTAGCCTTGATCTCACAGAGATCTGCCTGCCTCTGCCTCCTGAGTGCTAGGATTAAAGGTGTGTGCCACCACACCCAACTATTAGATACTAAAACTATTAAATTCATTTGTTATTGCCTCTGTGTGTGTATACACATGTGCCATGGTGCACACGTGGAGGTCAAAGGACAACTTGCAGAAATCACTTCTCTCCTAACACCATGTGAGTTCCAAGGATCCAGTTTGGGATGTCAGTCTTGGTAACAAGCCCCTTTACCCACTAAACCATCTCATTAGCCCTAGAGGACGGGTTTTTTTTTTTTTTTTTTTTTTTTTTTTTTTTGTCTTTTTGAGACAGGGTCTCCCTGTAGCCCCAGCTGTCCTAGAACTCACGATGATGTAGACCAGGCTGGCCTTGAAGTCACAGAGATCCGCCTTCCTCTGCCTCCCAAGTGCTGGGATTAAAGGCGTGCGCCACCACACCTGGCTTCTAGATATGTTTTTAAAAACTATTTAAAGTTGTCTAGCGCCTTTGAATTGCATCAGGATTTGACAGCTTTGCAGTTAGGGTGGTTAGGACTGGAATTTAGGGCCATCAGCTCACCACTTTTTCCCTTTTACTCTTAACTCGACTTGAAGGAAGATGTAGCTAGTCTTGCATTAGCTTGTAGGCAGTGCTTTATACTGACAACCACAGTACAGGCTGAGCTCTGAGGTGTCCGAGGCTACGTGCACGCTGAGCTGTGTGTCAGTTCACAGGCTTTAGAGGCAGAAAAGATGTCTTCTAAGTAGAAGAGAAAAATGTGAAATTTTCAAGAAAGAAAATACTCATCAACCAGGATTTTCAGGGTACAGTTAAATAGATGAAAGCCCATTCACCAATTCATATACCACTTGAGTATTTCACTGGCTTTAAAAATCTGTTATTGGGCTGGAGAGATGGCTCAGCGGTTAAGAGCACAGAAGACCCAGTTCCAAATCCCTGAACCCACATGGAGGCTAACAATCATCCGTAACTCTAGTTCCAGGGAATCCAACGCCCTCTTCTGACCTCTTTAGGTGTTGCACAACATGGATGCACTTACATACATGGAGGCAATACATTCATATACATAAAATAAATGTTAATTAGTTAAACTCTTATTAAATTTTCAGAAAAAGTTTAAACATAGTATTTAGAAAGACTTCATGTTCCAGATTCCCCATGTGGCTCTGTGTATGATGAGGAGGAAGAAACAGGCAAGCCATTTCACAATGGCCACGCGTGCTATGATTTGAGGTCCTTCCAGTTAATATAATGTATAAGGCTGCCATTTTAATAGTAAAGAACCAGACTTGTATAGTAGTTCAAAATACAGGGCTGGAGAGATGACTCAGTGGTTAAGGGCACCCACTACTCTTGCAGAGGACCAGGTTTGAGTCCCAGCACCTACATGGTGGCTAACAATCGTCCGTAACTCCAGGTCCAGGGGAATCCAGTGCCCTCTTCTGATTCTGCGGGTATTGCATGTCACGGGTGCACTTACACCCATGCAGGCAATATACTCATACTCATAAAATAATAATAAATAAATAGATCAAAATACAAAATCTTAATTGAATTTCTTATCCATTTGGCAATTTCACAGGTTTATTTGAAATAAAAAGCTTTAAGACAAACTCAACAGCTGGGGATGTAGCCAAGTTGGTAAAGTACTTGACTAGAAGGTACAGGGCTCTGAGTTTGATTTCACCATGATAAAAAAAAGTCTAATCTTACAGAAATGCAGAAGCAAAGCTATACCTTCAGGAAATCCCTGAAAGAGAGAAAGGTCTCAAGGTTCAGGCTCCCACCAGGATCCCCACAGGGGCAGGGCTGGGAGTAGAGCCTTTCCTCTACTTAACTGGTTCGTGACTTTCTACAAGGGAGGAAGATGCTGCCTGCCAAAGTAAAGGTCCAGAGGAAGAAAATAAGGCCTCCCCAAATGATGTAAGTGCTCACGGTGATCGGTAGGAAATCCAGCTGCGTCCCTAAGAGTCATCCCAGCACTGTGATATTTGAGACTACCCCGAGCTCACACACCACCTTCCCGACCCTGCTCTGTGGGTTACATCTAGGTTCACTTAGATTGGAGTGGTATAGTGTAGGGGTGTCTGTCATCTTAAAACAATTGGCATGGCTCAGCCTCCCCCACAATCACAATCTTGGTGCAGGCAGTTGCTGGGGCCTCAGCAGCTCTTGTCCCTTTGAGCAGGTCTGTCATATGAGGAGAACCTGAATGGGCAGAGCTGAGAGACAAGCGTGGGTAAAACACGTCGTAGTCACTGACTGGAGAGACGCTGATCCTCAGATGTGACTCTTACTTTAATGGCTTTAAGTTATATTTCACTTGGTCACACTGATTAAAATATTCCACTTCCCAGAAACCACAAGATGTTGGTTGCTAACAACATTCTCTAACGAAAGGAACCAGGGCTCCTTAGAGAAATGATTGGATGTAAGATCAGGGTGAGAGTGAACATGAGCTGGTAATACCTTATGTGGTCAAAAGGTAATGAAGTGATTTTCAATCACTACCAAAAATAAATAGAATATGAACTTAGAATGACGGGGTGGGGGTGTCACACACATATCAATGGAAAGTGTTCCTGGTGACCAAGGTTGAAACACTCTGACCAAAGCGAAATAAAATAGCAGTTGAGTGTAGTTCAAGGTATAAAGCAAATATTCCTGAGTCTGTACTGGTATGTGCAAACAGCTGAATAGGGAAAGAAGATACGAACACCGTAGACCAAAGAATCACTAAAAGGACACGGCCTGCACCTCAGTGGTCGAACATTTTAAATGCCTCCTATTCACAAGGCCCTACATTCAACTCCTAGAACTGAAGGGGAAAACAGCCCTACCAAAAGGATTCCAAATAATTTATGAAGACTCTTCAGTCTCAAGGAAGTATAAAACCTCATTCTCCACGGTATGAAGTATGGGCTAGACATGGTGGTTTCTTCCCAAATCAGAAAGCACACAAGAACATCAGGTAGCAGAGGGAACAGAGTAAGGCTGTGGAGAAGTGTGGCAAACACTGCCTTCCCAGAAGACCAAGGTCCACGTTTGATGGGATGCTGTGACCAAAAGAAAAGCCTTCTCCTCTGCAGTCTTCCTCCTGAAACCTATAACCCCAGATTAATCACAAAAGAAAACACAAACGTTACTTAGGCCATGTTCTGAAGAAGCCTCTGACTCTCAAGGTCATCAGAAGCAAAGCCCAGGGCACCATAGCAACTAGATGTAATGTGTGTATCGTGGGATGCAGTCCTAGAATGGAAGGACATGAGAGAAAACCCAAGGAAATCTCAGTAACATGCAAGCTTTCATAATGATGTAGCCATATTGGATTTTAATGGTGGGAAAAGTTTGTGGGGGGTTGTATATAAATGATGTTCAAAAATTTTTTGCAAGGGGGCTGAAGAGATGGCTCAGTGATGTAAAGTATGAACTGTTCTTGCAGAGGACCCAAGTCCAGTTGCCAACACCCACATAAAGCAGCCTACATCAGTCTGTAACTCCAGCCCCAGGGGATCTGGCACCCTCTTCTGGCTTCTCTGGGCATTACACTCAATGTGCACATACACACAGATACATATATATAATTAAAAATAATTTTTAAATGTTCAAATTTGTTTTGAAAATATAAAAATACTTTTTGTAAATATAAAATGGGGTGCTGGAGAGATGGCTCAGAGGTTAAGAGCACTGACTGCTCTTGCAGAGGACCCGGGTTCTATTCCCAGCACCCACATGGCAGCTATGAACCATCCTTAAGTCCAGTTCCGAGGGATCCAAAGCCCTCTTCTGACCTCCACAGCATTGCACAACACATACATGCAGGCAATACACTCATATACATGAAATAAAGATAATAAAATATTTAAAAATAAATATAAAATAGGAAACTAACATTGAAAGTTGTTTTGTTGGGTTTTTTTGTTTACGTTTTTTTTGACTCACTATGTAGACCAGGCTGGCCCCGAACTCACAGAGATCCACCTGCCTCTGCCTCCTGAGAACTAAAGGCATGTGTCACCATGCCGGGCTGAAAGTTTATTTTAAAGAAACATTCCATTTCAGTACCAGGTGCTGAAAGGATTACCAAAAGTGTTTCATTTCCACAGAATAATTGAGAACAGGAGTATAAATCACATTTAGAAGAAATCCGTAAGAAATACAGAATTGGTGCACTCGCTCAGTTTCAACTTCTGGTTGCTTTTCACTTTTTAACTTAAGTATCTGCCTTTTCTTATACCATTGTGTTTTCACGTGCACCAAACTAAAATGAATAAAAATCACTTATTTTTAAGCAAAAGTCATGAAGATTTTCTAGCAACTAATGCTGATGACATCTTTAGAGGGACAGAATTCTAGACAGAATGTTACAAAGACCAAGCAGAGGGATCTGAGGAACACTTGCGCTGCCACACGGTTTTTGAGACTAAAATGATCATGCAAATACATTACCCCTAAAATGGTTTTTAATGTTTTTTTAAAATATAAATGGGTGTTTGCCTACATTTGTATATGTGTACTACATGCATGCCTGGTGCCCTTGGAGACCAGAAGAGGGTCTGGGATTCTGAAACTGCATTTACAGTTATTAGCTACTATGTAGGTGCTGGGAGCTGAACCTGGGTGCTCTGCAAAAACAGCAAGTACTTGTAAACTCTGAACCATCTCTCCAGCCTTGATCGCTGAATGTTTTTAATGAGGCTGGAGAGATGACTCAGCAGTTAGGAGGGTTTGCTGCTCACATGAGGCGACTCAACCATCATCACCTGTGACTCCATCTCCAGGGGACCTGACACCCTCTTCTGGTCTCCATGGGTACTGTACTCATGTGTGCACACACATGCACAGACACGGATGCAAACACATAAATAAAAATAAAATCATTCATTGAAAAATTCAACAGAACTTTTTGATGCACATAGTTTTAATATATAAATTTTGATGTATCGTAGGCGTGAGAAGTACTCTCAGGAGGAGAGAGGATAAGGTTTTGATGCACATAGTTTTAATATATAATTGCGTAATGTTAATATTTTGATGTATCGTAGGCGTGAGAAGTACTCTCAGGAGGAGAGAGGATAAGTGTGAGACGTGGCCGGGCCATAATGGCAGATTTCGGGCTGTTCATTTGGGTTTTCTTCTTGCAGGACCTCCGGTGGAATGGGGGTCGGGGGAGATTCTTCCTCCATGAGAGAGCACGGCAGTGGAGGGGGAGGAGACACTTCATGCTCTACCTCTGAAGAGCCTTGTAGTGGCCAGAATCTTTTAAGCTACTGTGCTTTGCCACCAGAATCCTTCCGCCTTACAGTCCCCAGTGGGTGTCTCCGAGGACCTCTGTGCTGCTCAGGGGGAATGGTACTGCGGCTGTAATGTTAGATAGGAAGGCTTCCAGATGTTTCAAGGTCCTGTAGGATACAAGCCCATCAATTTAGAAAGAAATGAGCAGTGTCTGGAATTGTGCAGTCTGTCCACACTAAAGCCATTCATTTTTGTTCCTAGACTGTCACAGAGAAGCACAAAATGAACGTTCCGGAAACGATGAATGAGGTTCTCGATATGTCTGATGATGAAGGTATGAACGTGTCCTCGGGGCTCATAACGTTGATGAATGGCTCTGTGCTTCTGGCTTCCTGAAGGAAGTTCATGGCAGCCGTGTTTGGGGAAATGTTTAAATGCTTCGTTGCAGTGTCAGGAATGAGTATGTTTCACACGCTCCTGTTATCACTTCAATCATACAGTTCGTAAAGCCCACGCCCCTGAGATGCTCAGTGATGGGGAGTATATCTCAGATGGTGAAGAAGGTATTTGCAAGATTTTACCCTGATCAAATCTAACCCCAACCCGCTCTTATTTCTCGTCTCTGAAAAGTAACACTTCCTTGGGTTACTAACTTCTGTGATCTTAACTTTTGGATCATTTAAAGAATACCCATCTGGTCCTGTCTTCTTCAAGTCTTACTCCTTGACCCATTTTCATTAGTATCACTAATTATCAAGATTACTTTCGTTCTTTTTGTTTCCGTCAAGAAAAGCACTGATACTTTTGTTGTTTATGTCTGAAATCTAAAAGGAACAACTTACTGTTTATGCTGTAAATGCATTTAAAATGGAAATGGCATCACTACAGGGAGAAAAGGCAGAGCATCCACCCACCCTTGGCTCTGCAGTACAATCAGCCTCTGCCCTGGAACTAAGCATGAAAATGCAACCTAAACAAAACCGCTTTCAAAATAGAAACTTTCAGTGGTGATTTGATGATAGAAATTGAGCTAGCTGGGCATGGTGGCACACACCTTTAACACACGCAGAAGGGAGGCAGAGGCATGTAGATTTTTATGAGTTCGAGGCCAGCCTGGTCTACATAGTAAGACCCTGTTTCCCCCACTTCAAAAAGTGAGGCTATTATTTCATGAGCTTAATATAGCTGTTTGTTTTCTGCATTATTTAAAAGAACAATACTTTTGACCATGTCATGTATATACATACATACATATGTATGTATATGTGCATAGACATACATGTGTCTCTATGTGTGTGACATGTTTGAAAGATCTGTTGGAAAAGTGCCATTGCATAAGTGAATAAATGTCGTAAGGAAGGCAAATGTTAGAGTCTCACTGAACTAATTTACGTTTTTTTTCTTGAACCCATTTATCCTCCAAATCTACATTCCCTGTTGCCCCCTCCGCAGGTCACTCGCATAGAACTTTTTAATCTTGTGTCAGTCAAATGGGTTTTTAACTATTGGCTCTTTCTTTGATTTGCATAAATTCACTGGAAACCTAAATATTGGGAAAGATCTGCCTAGCCCAAAGCCATTATAAGCTTTTTGATATCCAGTCACTTCTTAGACTAAATGCATAGAGAGGCTGGGGCTGGATGGCACACTGGCAAGAGCTACTGCCTTAAGGTCGTGTAGGGATGCCTGATTGTCAGTGTTCCTGATAATTTCTACAGACTTTTGCTTTCTCCTTCCTTGTTTATTTGAAGCCCCAGCTGTATGTGCTCTCTCTCTCTCCCGCTGGATAACGGTATATCCTCTTTAGGGCTCTGAGAAGCTCACTTACCATATTCTATTTTGGCACATTCTCACGTAACATTTCAGAGTAACTTCTTATGTGCAGATGGTGTAACACAAGTGATGCGTTTGCATGATGTACACAAACAAAACACGAAGTCAGAGTCTGCTTTCCAAATGAGATCAGCATGAAATATAATATGACAAACATCAAACGCTGTTGTTCTGATCTTTTAACAAATTGTCCAAGGTTACCCATCCTGATGAGCAGCGGTTTGAATGGACTGAGTAGTTGTCTTATCTATGTGGATCAGTGACCAAATAATTTCAAAACAAGAGAAAAGTGAACCTCTAAATTTGAAATTAATTTACCTGATTAACCAGAAATTATATTCTTTTCCTTTATATTCGTTTCAATTTGCAAATTTTACATTTAGAACAGATTTCTCACTTTACCTCACTGTGAACTCTCTGCTTCCTTCTTTATGGGTGTGTCCATGGGATTTGGAGTCATCTAGCTTTTGATTTTGTAATGTCATAGAATTCGATACCGAAAAAAGAATCCTAAAGGTCAGTCCACCTGAACAGACCTGTGGCTGGAATCTCATTTGCTAGAACCTTCTTCGCGCAAATGTCTCAAATTGCTTGGTCTAGTTTGAACAACTCTGCCTTTAAAAAATCCCCTGCCTCATTGAATTCCCTCCTGCTTCTAGTTGATGACTCTGACTTTGATAGATTTCAGCAGGCTGATAAGGCAAGAGGGTTTTAATGTTGACTTAGAATAAAATTACATTTCCCTTGTCACAATCCTTCAGGTACTTGATATATTTTAAAATTTTATTTATTTGTGTGTGTATGTGTTTGTGAGGTGGGGGTCTGCCCCTGCCTCAAAGCACATGTGTAGGTCAGAGAACACCTTGGGAATCTGTTCTCTCTTTTTATCATGTGGGACCCTGGGAAGGAGCTCTGGTCATCAGGTTTGGTGACAAGTGCCTCTGTCAGCTGAGTCATCTTGCCTCCAGGGTTTGAAGATATTTCTCCCATTTCTTCTCAGTCTGCTTTGCTCCCTCAGGCCTCAGCCACTTTCTCCTCCCTGCTCGCTGGCTCGCCAGCCACTGTCCTTTGTGCCTGCCTTCATGTAAATATCTGTTGTGAAGTCAGGAGGCCAAAATGGAATGCAGTCTGGTCAGAGCACAGCATCGGAAGGCAGTGTGGTTGCTCTCTCTGTAGAAGATAGGAAATGTCCGCTATTGATGATGCAGCTGTTGTGAAGTTATAATACCCTTTAATTTGATTCGTATGAATATTACTGTCACTCATGAATTGTCACTTTGGTTGGATTCCATGCTGCAAGTCTGAGTGAGCTCTGTGGCTGAGCCAGGTGCTTGCTTCCAGGAACCTGAAGACTTGCTTTGAGTGAATCAATGTGGAAGAATTAGCGAGAGCCAGGCCTGGCAGTACATGCCTGTGATCAGTACTCAGGATGTAAAGGTGGGGGTGGGGATCCGGAGTGCAGCTACATAGTGAGGTAGGGATAGGCCACCCTAGGGTCCATGAGAAGCTGTCTCAGAGAGAGAGAAAGGAGGAAGGGAGGGGAAGGGAACGGTCACATTGGTGTGGTGTCCTAGGCTACTGGGAATTTTCAGCACCATTTATAAGCACATACTGCCAGCTTGACTCAAGAAAGAAGAGCTTGTAATGCAGGAAATAATTTAAACCGTAAATTACGAAGGTAGGAGCAGCGCTAAGGGACGCGTCCAGAACAGCGTCCCTTTTCTTCCTTTTTTCCCCTTTTCTACTTTGCTTTCTTCTTCTCATCTTCCTTTGGTCTACTTTGAAAATTTGTTACAGATGAAGCAGTGTTTGTATTAATTCCCTTCCCTACAAAAATAATATAAGGAAAAGACATCCAGTCTAGACAGTGTTATCCCTTAAGGAGTCAGGGGACAGTGGAGCAGAAATACAGAGAACAGAGGTCCAAGCAGCAGCTGAATCCCAGGTCAATGGAGCAGACCCAGAGCAGCTCCAGGTTGAGCACCACAGAGAGCCAGAGGGGCCAGGAAGGCAGGCTCCTGCCCTCTGTCCCCACTGCACACACTCCCTTCACGTACACATAAAAGTAGTACCTCCATTCGAGTCCCAGGGAGCATCCTACATTTTGCAGACAAGATTGTAATTGAAAAGAAAGAAAACAGGAGAACGAGATTATGGCACACACAGGAGGGAAAGAAAGGAAGCTGGGTAAAGGGAGGAGGCGGGGGAGAGAGAAAGGAAATTGGGGTAAAGGATTTCAGAGTGTCTCTGGCCCAGCTTGGACCTTTAACTGCCAATTCCTATAATGTATCTTTTGTAAATTCGGAAAAACAAAAAGAGGGAGAGAGAGAGAAAGTGTTATTTTGCCTTGCCCAATTCCAGTGGGTTGAGATATAATGACATATTTAACAACGATGGAACACAGTGGGAAGTGGAATTAAGTCACACAGCGTAGACACCAAAGAGGCAGCTCTGTGAAATGGAACCTGATTAATAGGTACGAGACCACAGCCCTGTTGGGAAGAAAGACCTAATCTGACTTCGCTTCCATTTCGATAGAGATCCAGGATCTGTGAGTATCCAGATACAGACTCTAAGCATTGCAAAGAAATCTATGCTGCATGTGTGTGTGTGTGATAGAAGTAATTACCAAGAAGGTATGAGTTTCAGATGTGATAAAGTATTAAAATTCAGGAAATAGGGCTGGAGAGATGGCTGAGTGGTTAAGAACACTGGTTGTTCTTGCAGAAGACCCGGGTTTGAATCCCAGCACCCACATGGCAGCTAACTGTCCATAACTCAAGTCCCAGGGGATCCGACAGCCTCTTCTGTCTGCCTCGGGCATTGCGTGACACAGGTACACTTACCTACATGCAGGCAATACACTCATGCACATAAAATAAAAATAATAAATAAAATATTTAAAAAATAAAAATTTAAAAAAGGAGTAAATCATGTTCTTCTAAAAGTAATATTGAATCACTTGGGCTTGAGCCTGGGGATCCCCAGAACCCATATAAATGTCCAGTGGGTATCATGGCCCACATGTAATTCCAGCACCCCAAAGACAGAGACGGGGGTCCCTGAGGAAGCTGGCTAAGGAGACTAGCCTTGTTGATGAGCTCCAGGTTCATTTGAGAGACCCTGCCTCAAAGAATAAGGTGGAGAAGACTCCTGAGGTCTGCCCCCAGCCACCACATGCACATACATGCATATACACCTGAACACAAGTACACCCACATCCCTGCAAACACACACGTGCATGCACAGCACATACACACCCACATGAAGAGGGCGATAATATCACAAGGTAACTTAAAAAAATGTTTTAATGACATTGCAATAGGAATGTGACTCCTTCTATTTTAGCAAAAAAAATGTGCAAGGCAGGCTGGGACTCAGGGACAGTAAGTATAAACACAACTCTGGAGAGATTTTAACAACTCAAAGCAAGGAATTTTCTTAAACAGTTTGTGTGTGCACACGCATGTTTGTGTGTCATCACTTGTATGCCATGGTGTG